TCCAAACACATCTTCAGAAAACATAGAATCTGCATCGATTATAACAGAATGTTCATTGCTAAACCCACCATCTAACAAAGATATGAGATCCTCTGGGACATAGGTATCCGCTGCATCTTCTGCATCATCGCCTTCTTCGTCGTCCCGTGATAGTAAATTATTTACCGCTAAGTTTACATCTAAATTTGTACGCTGTGCGAATATTTTGAAATTAGACTTGACAGATCCACATTCGTGCTATGAACGTGTATGTACGTATAATATTAAAACAAACCTGCAATTCTCTAATAATAAGATTGCGACTTTTTCCTTGTAGTACCACTTGAGCCTGTGATATAAGATCTTCTGGCACAAATGGTGCAGGTACTGGTGCAATGGGACGTGAACTGCTGCCGCTTCCTCCACCCATAATTACACCTGGCGGTCCTATCCTACCCCCGCTACTACCTCCTCCGCTACTACCGCCTCGTGAACTGCCACGCATAATTCTTGCACGCGTTCTAGACATCCCTCTGCCTCCACTTCCGCTACTTCCCCCACCATTTGGTGCAGAATTTGAATTTCCGACATGATTTTTGTTTGTACTATAACGAGAGGATATATACATTTCAGGCATTTTCTATTTAACAGCTATCCTCAGATAAAGTTCTCTTTGATCATTCTTACTTTCTATTTGGTTCATTTTTACTTAAATCCAATCTGTCCGACAATACTGTAAATGCAACTCTGCAAACTTTGTAATCGTCCGTAAGAAGGGCAATATGTGTTGGTCCAACCACAATATGTTTTACTGCAATCTTTAGCCCACTAAATGCTGGTAATGTTGCAAATCCATATCTGTTAATCTTCTCTCCTACTTCCTTTAACCTATAAAATGATTTGATCCTCTTACAAACTCTCATAGAAACATTTAATAAATATACGATAAACTCGACACGAAAGCAATAGAAACTTATATGTATAGTCGATAAATCCAATGTATAAATATGATTGTACGTTATAATTCGAGGTGCATGACTTTATAAATTGTACATTATATAACGAAAAACACCATACATTTGAACTCGGTTAACAATAGAAAATTATCATAATTAATCAAAATGAAAATAAATATTACAATAATCATAATGGTTATTCTTAGAATAAAATATATTAAAAATCAGCTTCAAGCTTCTGAATAAGATTAATATAAATTTATTCTCAGATAAAATTACTAACTATTAAAAATTATTTGGGCAATGGTATGTCCAAAATTTAATGTTGATAAATACATGTAATACGCATATAACTATATTCCGTGTGGTATAATCGTATCAAGGGGAAACGTAAAAAGCATAACGCAGAAAAACTCAAAAGAAATTAAATCGCGCGATGAAAAAAAAAAGTGAAATAATTTACTAATAATTAAACAGCGAAATTACAATGAATTTTTCACAGAACCCCCGCGGCGACCGAGCGTGTCCGATCGCAGTCCAAAAGAGAATCATATTTTTCCCCGTAACCTACAGACACGACGAGCATTGCCGAGCTGCGAGGAAAATGCTTTTCCTCCTGACAACGAAAACCCGTCCACGGAAATGTTCGTTTCGATCAACAAAGCGACGAATTACCGAAGGTTCGAGTTCGATGACGAATTACGTAGACCGTGCGTTCATACGAGGACGGTTAATTCGAGGAAACGGCGATAATACAACAACAAACGTTTTTCCTACGGTTTCGAGTATGGTGCACGGAAAATGATTAAACTGCATTCGTTGACAAACATCGGCATCGACTTCGACGAGTATCGGGGTAAAATGGATAAAATGGAAATAGGGGGATCATGGGACGAGGGAAACGAGCACGGCCTACATTTAAAGAACAACCGACGGGAAGGATCGTTTCAATAAGCTGCGAAGAGGACGAACCATAGACGTGCTGAAATGATACATTAATGAGAAACCAATAACGAACACGTTCTCTATACCTATCATGCAGCTGGTCATCCGTTCCAGGTAATGGGTGCACGGCGAAATGTATCGACGTCATTCTGCCGGCGATTTAACGTGCTCGAAATAGTAAGATGTCGTTTTAATAATTCTGTACACACAGTTTCACCACACCGTCGAAACGATATTCAGCCATGTTTTTTGAAGAAACAACCAGTTACGTGTTCCCGAAACCGAACGGATCGGACTGCTGTTCGAGTATTCGCAAATACACCAAAAATTATCGTTCAGACGAGTCTTTCCACAATCGTTTACTCCAATCACCGAAAATTACGAGTACGAATCGAATATTCCCTGTGAAACGCGTTACTGACTTTCTCGTGCAACAGCCACGGTTTTAATCCAGACGTTTCTCTTCCGTCGCGTAGCGGCGTTGCGGCGCGCAAACATGTATCATGGCGGCCTTAAGCTTGTGGTCAACAAAAAATTTTGACGTATCAGGTTCCGTGCTTTTCGTTGATTTTACTGGTCGAAATTTCTAATGATCCGATATCGATGATTTCGAATGATTTTCATCGAAATAAATATATAATGAAATAATACTATTTTTCTATTCTGAATTGAAAGGAAACCTTTTTTTTTCTACTAATCACATAGAACGGTATTTCTAGACTACTATTTCACGAATTAAAATCTTTATCGTAAATATAAAGATTTTTATTCGAACAAGAAACGTAATGATTTATAATCATTTTTTGGAAGATATTATCATAATACGGTTACGTCTCACTTCGGATTTTATTTATATTTCAGAGGAACTGAATGTCACGGAATTATTTTATACCTTCTATTCTGAAATTAGCTTCAAAATGTTTATATCTAGGTCTAATGAAGGGAGAAAAAAAAATTTGACTTTCTTGCATTTAGAGTTTTATATTATCATTGTTTATTGCAGTTAAAAAACATGATTTTATGGGTATATATTACAATTTTGTTTAAATAATTGATAGTTTTGTTAAACTAAATACTGTACAATGTAGCATTATAACTAGTTTGAAAAATTAGTAATGAAATTATTATATAGTTTATTCCTTAACATTTTAATATCAAGATATGAATATGTACAGAAAGAATTATACTGAAATTTTCAGTATTTACAATAATTACACAACACCAGACTGCATATAACATAAACTACAATTGTTCGGATAGTTGTTTCAATATGCAGAAGTTAATAGAATCCTGGCATTCGTCATAAATAACCATGTATATTTTGTGAGACAGCTACTAATGAAAATATTATTTAAATATGCTAAACAAGCAGTAAATTTGTTGCTTTTTCAGTACATTCCTATGATATAAGTTACTTTTATTTCTTTTTGTACATACCGTTTTAACCAATTTGCAGATTTCTCTTTTTCATAAAATTTGT